GCTGCTTGGCCTGCTGTGTTCATCCAGCCCTGCACCTTGTTGTCTCGGATTCTCCAGCATCTGCAGTTCCTACTATCTCAGGCCCCAAGATTAGATATTTTCTAACCAACCTGTTGAGAGGTGTTATAACACACGTCTAAAAGTCGTCTGGCTGACTGGCTCCTCTTCATATGTAGTGACACAGAAACTCGATTCCTACACTCTGAAAAATGCTGCAATCCCAAACTAATCCCAGCCTTCCAAATAACATGCATCTTTGTGAAGCCTACTTCATCCCCTCTCTGAGTTCATGGCTTTCACTTTGAGAAATAACCTCTGTAACTCTGGGTAGTCCCCTGCTGTTTTAGCAATGAAGAAAGTGTTATAAATTCTACACTTTAATCACATACATATTTGAAAAATAATCGCAAAGAGCCACCAAATACCAGTGTAAAACAAATTAAGGATGAGGAAAGCTTAGAAAAGATTAAGTTTTACAACCATTTGCTTCACAATGTCACCAACAATTCACTAATTATAAAAACAGACATATCTCCTGTTTTTTTTCAAAACATAAAAGGTAGGCAATATATCTCTAAAACTGATCTACCACTTAGACATTCATAAATCTGACTTCAACAGTAGCCTGCAAGTGATAGAAAGACAGCGTCATTTTACTATCACTATCCATTTCCTTATCTATCCCAACCAATTCCACCTTATCTGGCTTCTTGCTTTTCTGTTGGATAAATGGATCAAGAACACTTAGACCCATAGCAATTTATAACATTGGAAAGTATCATTCATCCCATGATATTTGTGCCATTTCACTGCCAGAGGAATTCAAAACTAATCCTACTGTTCTTTCTCCCCCTGGTCCTGTATCTTCCCCTATTTCATATATTTATCCAACCTTCTCTTAAAAAATGCAAAGTGCTCTGCCTCAACCACTCCCTGTGGCACAGCATTCCATCTTCCAACAAATCTATCTGTACAGAGCTTTCACTTGACCTATCTGATCACTCGCAGTGACACTTTAAATTGATGATCCTGTGTCACGAACTCCTCGTTCCGCAGAATGGTGTATAGAGGGTTGAACCTCAGCCACTGACTCTAATGATTTCAGCACCCTCACCTCCAGGTTTAAAGAAAATTAATCCTCTTTTGAACAGACACTACTCTGATGATTCAAACCATCAACAAACTGACTTTAGGCAGGAAAACATTAAACACAACACATGGCTTAGCACCTGACAGATATGAAAAACTATCGACACATTTCAACAGGACCATGATCCTTGGACAAGGGAGATTGAGCTTAAGGTATCAAGATCCTATTAAACAAAGGAACCCTTGGGTCAAAACTGATGACAGCTGCTTGAGAAAGACACAGCAAGAGGATGTTAAAATTATACTGCACAAAATAATTAAACAACAATCATCCTCGCATTTCATGGATGCATAGATCCCTGACTCATACGATAATTTTCTCTGACTGACTGGAATGTGAAAAGTGCCAGTTGGTAATTTTCCAAGCTTTAATAGTTTTTCCTAAAATAGTTAACATTTTTGATAAAGCAACATAAGCTCATAACCTCCTTTACCAGAACAAAACACAATTGTATTAGAGAATTTTTAAAATCTCAATCACATTTTAATATTTTCAATGACACCTTTTGAGCTAATGTAGTTGCCTTAACAAATTGATGCACATGTGAACATATATTCTGAGCAGATCTGATTAACCTCTTACTTTGCCTTACACAAGTGCAGACCCGAAAGATAGACTGTTCTGTGTTAAATTTGCTTCTCGATGAATGCACGTAGAAAGTGTTGAAGTAAGTCAGTGACTACTTGTTTAGAATTGACCAAGTAAATCAGTTGCCTTTAAACATAATTTAATGTGTATTGACTGCAATAAAATGCATAACATGTTTAAAATTTGTTTATAGTATCAGATTTGCAAGGTAACGAAAACATTTTTTATATTCAATCTGTAGTCAGACTGTGACTGAAAAAGACACTTTTACCTGCCAATGGATGAAACCCTGATTATCCAACTTGTCACCAAGTAAAAAGCAGATGCATTCCACTGATTCATAGCCCAGTGGAACATCTCTCCACAAATGCTGCAGACCCACAGAGTATTTCCAACATTTTCTGCTTTTATTTTACATTCCACTGATGCCAGGCACAGGAGCCTTTTGGAATACAATTACTGACTATCTCTAAATTCAGCACACTTAGGTTCACCCAGGAAGCAAGGATCATCTTTATTTTCAAATCTGCCTGTGCGCTTTACTACTGGTTGATCAAGAATGCAAACCAGTTTTTGATATTGATACATTTAATGTTTAAAAGATTGATCCCATTCTATTCTTATTTTTTGTTCTCCATGTACTGTATGAGTAACTTGTCCCTCAATCTATTATTTGAATTATTCCCTTAAACTGGACAATACTGTCTTTGTGCATTGTTCAAGCAAACAACAATTCCAAGAAACCTCTAGTAATTTACAGTAGGTTACCCAGCTCTGAAATTCACAATGCACTCATCTGCTCCATTAACCAAAAGCAAGGTGATGGATACTTACAAAAAGTCAACAGCATTCCAAATATTTTCCTCCCCTTTTCAGGGTATATTTCTTCCTTTCCCTCTGTAAAACTTTCCAGAGCAAATAAACATCTCTAATGAAAACATTTTCAAAGAACATTCTTGATAAACACCCAAAACTCACCAAGTATTCACATGTGTGCATGGATACTGACACTCAAAATGGAACTTTGAATTTATGAAAACTCAGAACCATTTGTAACACTAGAAGATGCCAGTTCCAAGGGGGCCTGTTTTTAAGTGCTAAGCTTCACAGTACTCCACCATAAGACCTTCATAATTATGGGCTGCTCTTAAAAAGTCCACACAAATATGTGCTTCATTTTCAATTTCCTTACATTGAAAGAGAGACAACACTTCAAAAATGCTTAATTAGTTGTGAAGTGCTTTGGAACTCTCCAAGAAGCAAGATCTTTCAAATTTACACACTGTCTGCAAACTCAACTCAACTGTTTATAATAAACAGATGATTATGTAAAAATGGATCTCTCACTCTTGGTAAATCAGATTATGTGTATTTTGTTTTGCAACACTGGAGCACTAAAACAGATTAACAGACTACGCTAAATGTGGTCGATAAAAATCCAGGGGACCTGTTACTTTACAGAGGCTTATTGCTGTAAGCGCGCACATAAGTCAAAGTTTAATTGTCATTTAGTCAGAAAAACTGCAGAAAGCTATGTAGTCCTCAGCTTCATACTGTAATTTAGAGAAACACTGATATTATAACATGCAATAAAGCGTGGGCATCTCTACATGCCAACCACTGTAATAAATAACCAGTGAATCTATTTTAAAAATAGCTCAAATCTGCTGAACATGTCCATTTAGAAATTACCTCATTCACTTCTCATCCCTGCAAAAATCTGCATTCGGTTTGGACCTCACGCACTCATTCACCCCCTGTGAATAAAGACAGCTACAAAATTCCAATCTGCTTTCAGTGCCTTTCCACACACCGTCCAGTAACCAGTAGATGGCAGACCCCAAGTGACACACGCTGCACCAAAAATTAACTTTACGATGTATGAGGAGCGCAGTGCGAGGGGAGAGAAACTACTTACTCAGAAATAGGAACTTGTTTTCCGAACTGTGCGAGAAGAAACAGCATTGATTCCTCGGTTCACTTACCAACACCACCCCCTCCCACCTCCTTTAAATAATCCAGCTGCTCAGCACCCGAAAAGCCAAAGTGTAAGTTTACCTGATCATGTCCAAATCAGCGGAAAGGAAGTCCTGGCTGCGCCCCGCAGCTTCCCGAAAGGCTGTTTATTTACTCTCCAAAGCCGACCTTTCACTGGTCAAAGAAGACAGAAGGGGATCCTCCAGTGGATCTGTTCGTTTCCACAAAGAAACTCCAGGCAGGGAAATCCCCACACTACATGAAGCCCACATCCAGAAAGAGCTGGAACAACTCTTGTCTCCCTCACACAGACACAGACACGAGGTCTGCAGCTCTGTACCTGCGCCGGAAAACTAACCCACTCCTTGATTCCGAGCGACTCTCATTCATGGTATCAGCTGCAGTGCACTTCCTGTACCTGGCCTGCTGCCTAAGTGTACCTCAGTGACCCTAACCCCTCCCCAGATACAGTGCTGCGTGCCTTGAACACTTGCACGTGTCTTTGTTTTCGGATGATCTAACGTGAACCCAGTCAGTTCTAACACACACACATAGAGGAGCCAAACATCATTCTACAGGCAAGCTTCTATTGCTTTCAGATCAGATCCAACCTACACCTCCCCCCAATCCACCTCCGAACCATGTCAGAGGAAGTCCATTCCGTCATTCTCGATGAAGGGTTGTTATAGACATGAAACTCTGTTTTTCTCCAGGTGTTGATTATTTCCAGCATTTTCGGTTGGAACTCCTAAATTCCTTGGACCCCCTAAGCCGGTGCCTTTTTGGTCACTGTGATTCCCATTTTGAGGCTTGAAAATGGTCTCAGTGCAGCATTGTGAGAATGTTTTGGGTGTTGGAGGATGAGGGAAAGACCACTGAAGGATGTAGGGGGTGGGTGGGGGAAGAAGGATTGACATGAGGAGATGGGTGTGCCATTGTTGGCACAGAGGGCGCGATCCTAAAATTTCACCTCGAGATTCCTACTTGAGATCCCAACCCCTTACTTTGGAGAGCTCTGCCCTAAGGTGTTGTGTGCAATGGTAGTCAGAGAGCTCTGGGTTTAGTTAAGTGCTAGTTGACCTTGATGGCTTTGGAAAGTGTATCATATCAGACTCACAGCTAATGAAGTGCTTTTGAAGGGTAATAGGGAAGTCTCTGTTTTGTAAGCGCACACGGATTAGTAATCAATTTGAGGGGCTCTTGCAGTGCGGTGGTAGTGTTACTATCTTCGATCTAGGTGACCTGTTCCAAATCCCACCTGCTCCATAGGTGTGTAATAATTTCTGAACAGGTTGATTCAAAAAATATATTGGATTAAATGTGAGGAGGGCTCTTGTGACCATCATTATTGTCATCAGTGGTCTCTCGTGGACAAGGATGACTCTCTTCCGCACTCAGGGTGAGCTGTAGGTGGCTGTACAGACCAATGCAGCTTCCACAGGCTCTGTTACACTTGAGGCAGACAGGGGTCACGGGAAGGGGTGGGTAGAGCTAGATATAGCAGCGCGCTCCTTATGTGTTTTCACCTGGAGCTTGTGACACAACAGTAGAGTCCCTACCTCTAGGCTAAAAGGCCTGGCTCCAAGTTCCACTGGTATGCCATAATAGTTTGATTAAGATCTTTTGTTTTATTATCAACCTGCAAATCTTACTGGTCAGTCCATGGCGGATAGGAACGAGTGAATCAACCAAAAGCCATATAGTAACTGCAGTGCAACAACCTCCCTCATGTTAAAAGATTCCTCGCACTGAGTCTTGCCACAAATCAACATCCTTCCCGTTTTGAAGAACTATCCACCCAGAATTGGTACTAATATTGACCCAACACTACATATACTTGAATGAGATTTCCTCTTTTTCAGGAATCTGTACAAATGGGTAAATCTTTCAGTCACAACTTGGCTGGTAGTGCAGGAGCTGTTTGGGATCCAGATAATCAAGCAAAATTACTCTTCTTGGATGCCGACATGTAACATTCCATTCAGCCCCCAGAGTGGATCTGAGGTGCTCACGCATATGATTTTCAAGGGCTATCTGTCAATATGTTAGGGTATAGTAATGAGACAAGATGGGTCCAGGCACGATCTAGTCACTGGGAATGTGCTTACCCATGTAAATGAGGAATGAAAGTTGGAAGAATTTCAAATTGGATATTTTTACTTAGCAAGTTTCAAAAAGTGGGCTTTATCTTTGAGTCCATCAGAGCTAATGTTTTCAAGATTTGCTTTTGTTCAGGGTGGGGGAGATTTTGCTTATTTTTAGATGCTTTGTTCCAGATTCTTGCCAGCACATTTTTCATTAGAATAAAGATTTATATAAAACCAGTCCTATCTAAAGGACTATGCAAAGTTCTTCACAGCTAATTAAGTGCTTTTGAAGGATAATAGGGGAGTCTGTTTGGAAGCACACATGGCAACCAATTTGCATGTAGCAAGGCATTGTAAAGAGAAATGATATAAATAACTCGTACATCTGTTCTTGGAGTTGTTGATCAATGGATAAATGCTTGCCAGAAATTTGAGAGAACGTTCTTATTCTTCAAATAGTGGCACAGGGTTGTTTTCATCCATTTGACTAGGCAAACATAGCTTCTGTTTAACAGGGATCTGCAACCTTCAGTTGCAAAGTCATTAGCATCTCGGTAAGGACTTGGTCTTAGAGTCATTGAGGTGTACGGCATGGAAACAGACCCTTCGGTCCAACTTGTCAATGCCAACCAGATATCCTAAATGTGTAGGTTGGGTGGATTGGCTATTGTTAGATATTTAATTCTTAGCTATTCTGAAATTTTCTTAAATATTCATAGATGTTCTTGAATAGATATAAAGCACAGCAAATTGGATTTTGATTAATTGGTTTTAAATTCCATCAATGACCAAAGTGCAGCATGGTGGCTCAGTGGTTAACACTACTGCCTCACAGTGCCAGGGACCCAGGTTCGAATCCACCCTTGGGTGACTGCCTGTGTGGTGTTTGTGCATTCTCCCCGTATTTGCATGGGTTTCCTCCCACAGTCTGAAGGTGTACAAGTTAGGTGGATTGGCCATGCTAAATTGTCCATAGTGTTCAGGGATGTATAGATTAGTGGGATGTTCTGAAGGTCAGTGTTGGGCCGAAGGGCCTGTTCCCACACTGTTGGGTTTCTATGAACTTGGAGTTTTACCTCTTGCCCCTAAAGCATTGCCTGGGATTCTGGATATGTATTCAGGTAACATTACCACTGCTCCTTTAGAGATCAATATTCAAAATCATATGATCATGTTCTCACCTCCTGCTAGGAAGCTGTTCTCAGAGCAATGCTAGACTCCTGACTCAGCAGGAGGTCTGTGAACTCATAGAATCCCGACAGTGCACAAGCAGGCCATTCCACCCATCGAGTCCCCACCGACCCTCCAAAGAGCATCCCATCCGGAACCAAACACCTGTCCTATCTGCGTATTACCTCTAATCCACCTGACCTGCACATCTTTGGACGATGGGAGGAAACCCAAGCAGACACGGGGAGAATGTGCAAACTCCACACAGACAGTGACCCGAGAGTGGAATCAATCCCAGGTCTCTGGTGCTGTGAGGCAGCAGTGCTAACCACAAGCCACTGTGCTCCCAATGTTCTGTTTCTGAACTTTTTGTAACATTTAATTGAATTATTGAGGTGGTTACAAAATGGTCGTTAAAACAATTTAATTAACAGCTCGCCACTGCTGCCATGGGGATGCTGTCCCTGGGAAAAGAGCTGGGAACATCTCAAGGAGCCAGACAAATGTGTTTCTATCTGAATTTCCCCACACCAATGCTGTTACAGTCAACGTTCCCTTCTTTAATGGATATTTGCTTCATGGTCACTTTCACTTGTAGCAGCTTTTTGCTTCCTGATGTTTAAAAGTGAACACAATCCCTCAAACAGCTCAATGGAGTGTGGACATGAGTGAGGGCATCTTGATTCCTAATGCAGTAACATAACCATTAAACTACCTGGGAAGTGATATTAAAGAGTCTACATTCCCAGTGATAAATTAGGGCCATGAAACGTCCTTCACTTATTCCATTCTGGCTCCCCTGGCTGACCTTATCTTGAGCAAACCTCTGGCTCTGCCAAGTCCTATGTGTCGCAGGCCCTTCCCAACTTTTCCTTTGTTAAACCAGCACCATCTGTACTTTCACAGTTAGGCAATGGCTGGCTCTCTTTTGGCGACAAGGATCCTGTCAGGAACCCATTTTAGAGAACGAATGAGCCCCTGACCAATCTTACCAGGTAGGAGCTGTTAGAGAGATAGCGGCCATCCAGAATAGCACTATCAACAGGAGAGTAGTGCCTTATGCATCCACCCCATGAGGAAAGATATTTTCCTAATCAACTCATTTAGAGATGTTATTATGCACCCCTGGAGCTGTCAGGACGTGAACCTGGGTCTCCTGGTCCAGAGGTAGGGACACTACTACTCCACCACAAGACCCCACATTTCAAGTAGAAATACTAGATCAACCTGAAGCAGCTGGAATTCAGTCAAACCCATGTTTAACTCCCACAAATCAAAAATAATATTAAACAGGTGTTTTTTGTTTATTCTGTGAAACCTCAATCTCAAAACTCTTGTCATTATCATTTCTGCATTTATTTGCCAGTTGCACCAAATTTAACAGCCTTTTAAATGGAAGTTCTTTTAGCTCCATTTTTTGTCACCCATCATCCTATTTACACAACTTCATTCCACGAACAAATTCAAATCCCACAGCTTTGCATTAATCCAGAATCCAATGTGTCATATAATCACAGCTGCTGTAAATCTGCTTCTACGCTCTGTAACTGCCATAT